AGACTACTTAAATAGGCAACCAAAAGTTGCATGTATGGCTAGTTGTACTCTTATTAGTAATAATCAGAGAGCTTAAATAGGTAATCTTCTAGTTAGGTTGCAGGTATGGCGGCTAGCGTAGAACCTAGACGGACCACTTAAATTAGATACCAAAAGTACACGTGTGGCTTGATGTACTCTTGTTGTAACTGTATAACCTGAAGTTAATAAGTTTAATAAAAAGTTCCCAGCCGTAGAGGTTACCTTAACGCCAAAAAAAAAATAATAATAATAAAAAAAAAAATAAATAAAAATAAATAAAAATAAACTAAAAAAAGAATTATTAAATTTTTCATCTGGGTCCATATTGTTCTTAGTAAAAAATTTTTTTGGCATGCTTTTTTCTCTGTAATAGCACCTATATACCTCTTTAACAATTTCAATAGATGGAAATTGTTCATTGCACATACTACAAAGATTGTTGTAAAGCTTTTTCATAGTGTTGACAAACCTATGTAAAAGCTTCTAGTCTGCCGTAGAAAGCTCCTCTATATTAGTTGATTCAAGTTCCTGATGTTGTATAGAACTTTCTTGATCTAAACTAGATCTTGTATTCTCAGCTTTTAAGGCATATTTTTCATGCATAGTTAGTGTATTTCTATGTTTTCTTTTATCTTGCTGTTTAGCTGATTCTGCAGTATATTTTTTGTGCATATTCGATGCATTCTGAAGTTTTCTCTTGGCTTTCTGTTTATCTGATTCTTTGGCATATTTTTTACGCTTTTTTTGTTTGTCTTTTTCATGTCTACTGATAAAATGTTTACTACTTTCATCTATCTGATATAAAGGTATATTGAGCAAAATAGGCCAAATCTGATTATTTATAGTTAAATATTCTAACTATGCTAAAATATATCAGGCTACATATAGTGCTTAAAGTAAGACGATATAAAATATAAAGGTATAAAAAGACAATTCCAATTTTTCTCAATTTTAATATCAGCTTTCATGTATACAAAAACATGCAAACTCTTTTTTCTATAGTTAAGTTATACGTGATTGTACAACAAATATTCAATCAGAATATCTAGTAAAAAAAGTTCATATTTTTTTTTATTATCATTAAAAAATAAAACCCAATAGCAAATTGTAGCAATAGACTTGTTATTAAAATAAATTAGAAATCACATTAATAAGATTAATTTTGAAATTAAAATCCAGTTAAGTGAAATTTATTTGTATACATTTCTTGTGTATTCATTCCATTTTACTAATAGTTATTTTTGGCTTTTAATTCTGCCTAACTCTAATCCAATTTTAACTATTAGTAAATGGATATTAAGTAGTGAGATTAATTTACTTCAGCTATACGTAATTGTTAGAGAAGCCCAAAAAAGAAATAATAAAGTGTATTGTTATAATTTTCTTTTTAGGTTTCACTTAACAAATAGCCCACTTTTCTCTTGTTTTTAAATAAGACTAATTGATTAATACTTTTTTTGTCTAGATTAGTAAATTTATATATTATAATATAGAATGTGGTTCAGGTTAAATAAAAATTATTCATTTTGTACAGATATTTTTTAAAATTTTATTTATACTAATTTTTTTGCATACGTATCAATAAACTTTTGCACATGTGCATCATATATTTATATAAGATATAACTAAGTGATATTATAAATCCAAATCTCTACCATTTATTTCTGGTTGGTACGCTTTAACATTTTTGATTGGATCAGATTGAAAATGTGATCTGAAACGTGATCCAAGTAGGAAAATTAATTATGATATTTGTTATATTTGTTATTCGAGAATTGAAAATAACATTAAATTACTAATAATCATTATACATATTTTAAACCTATTATAAAATCTTATATATATACATATGTATATATATATATCGTAATTATATAGGTATATATAGTAATTTATATGCGTCATGTACTTTTTAATTTACAAATTTGTAGTAATCAATTTAAAAATTGAATGGTTTTAGTATCTGAATTCAAAAATTGTGAAAATAGGAAAATAATAGCTTACTAACCTTTGCTAACTCTATCACTACATATAGTCAACTCTCTCTAATTTGAACCTTTCTAATCCGATTACTATTAAATTCTTTCTAATCCAAACCTAAAACTCTAAAATATTTGTAAATTTTATTATAAAGTTTAAATTAATATATAGTACCTCTTTTAAGAACTAAACTTTTTGACCAATTTTTCATATAAGAATGGATGAGTCAGATTAGAAAAAGTTGACTGTACATTGTAGTTTATTCTACTTTAGAAGTTTTGAATTTTTGATTTATATTTGCATATTATGTGAACTTACATATATATCTTTACTATTTTTAATTGGAATATGAATAATATTAATAACATGCAAAAGTAAACTATACTATATATTACTAGAATAGTAAGTTCAGCAAAAGAATTTTTTATAGTAATTCATAATCAAATCACAAAAATTCTAATATAAAATTAACTTGACCTGATTTCAAAATATAAATAGTCATATAGAAGTTTTAGTATTCTTAGTGTAGTTTATTATACCATTCAGCCCAGTATTTATATTGCTTTTACAAATTGAAATAAGTAATAAAAAGTATGTAGTTATTTTTAATTATATATAAATTTTATTATAAAAATTACAGAATTTATTAATAAATTGGCTTTTTTAAATATTTAGCTTTTTTATTATAAAGATATTTTTATTTTTATAATATAATTTTTTAGTATAAACTATATTTATAATTTATATTTAAGTAATATAAAAATTAGTAAATAGTTCTTCGGACTTCAAATAGTTTCCATTTACCTAGTATACTGTATATACTTGTACTAGCTACACTAGTTTTGATAGTCCCAGGCCCTCATAATGTCTGAAGACTTTCATATAAATATATATAGAGCTCTGTTAAGTCTTGATATATATATATCTCTATGCTTTAGCCTCTTTTTGGTAAATAATCTTATATAGTACCAGAGGTGTTTCAAATCTAATAAGGCCAATTTTTTACCACAGATCCCTTTGAGTTTACCACTTTTCTTACTACTTCAATTCTAATTACTATCTAGTTATTCTCCAAAACAAAATCTCAATACCATCTTAGAGTTGTTGGTGCTATCTATGCCAACCAAAGATTTATATACACAACTATTATATAACAAAACCTTCTATAACAACCATAATTACATATAATACCAACTTCTTTACAATAAATCTTCTTTCAAAAATTTCTAATTTAGACTTGTACTCACTTGGACTTCTTATAGTAAATATTTATAGAATCTGCATCTACTAGAACTGGAATCTAAAATTTGCTTATAAAAAGTTGAGTATCTAGATCACTAGGCTGCAAAATCCCAATTTCTTTATTTGTTTTTAACTTATATAAGTAACCCAACCTTTTTTTTATATAAAATAAAATTAAATACTACTATAATCTAATTTTTTTTATTTTTTTATTTTTTATATTTTTTCTTTATTCTTAGACAGCTTTGTCAGAGCTTAAATACAAAATTATCTTATTACAGTAATAGAAAAGCTACTCTAATAAAACCTCTAATTTTAAAATTGCAATCTCAACATTACCTGGCTACTATTTTAAGCACTCAGATATGACCTGTCGCACTAATATCAAAAATAAGTTTCGGTTAAGAGATCTTGTTAGCCTGTCAAGAACTAATCCCTTCAATCTTTCTTTCTTTACTGAGAGTACAAGAAAGTAAAATTTTGTACTACCAATACAGAATTAATATT